GCATGGTCAAGAGGGAGGAATTGTCGATGTTTGTCAAATGAGGAATACTTGCCACCCTTCTTCAACCAAATAAACTTCAGAGCTGTCTTGCATACTGGGCATGGGAACTTGCCGTGAACACACCAGCCACAGAATATTTCATATGCCAGGAAGTCATGCAGGGAGTAGTGGTACCAAACATGCATCTTGAAGCTTCTCTTTGTAGCTCGGTCGTATGTCCATACCCCTTCGTCCCAAGCATTGAGCAATTCATCAATCACAGGCTCCATGAACACACCCATACTATTCCCTAGGTGTTCAGGAATTATCAACGACAGGAATATGTTCTGCCGTTGAAAGATGACGCCCGGGGGGGGAGATTGAGCGGGATAACGAACACGGGCCAACAAGTGTATGGGGCAGCCATCATTCCATAAGGATTGAACCCATCTGTTGCCAGCACAACACGGACATTACGGGCCTCTAGAGCTTTCTCATGATGAATGTCATCAAAATGTTTCCATGATTCACCATCGGAAGGATGTACCATCTTATCTGGATTGTATCGACGTCCATTTTTGTGCTATGTCATTTGTTTTGCGGACTCCTTGGTCATGTATAGCCGTTGGATCCTCGGTATGAATGGAAGGTACCGTAGGATTTTCACGGGGATGTCAAGCTGCCTCTTGAGACCATCATCATAGTCTACCTCAAGGAACCTAGAGGATTTACACTTTGGACAGTGCTTAGCTTCCACGTGTTCGTTCCTAAATAAGATGCACCCCTTTGGACAAGCATGTATCTGCTCATATGGCATCTTAAGTACACAGGGGAGTCTCCATGACTCGTACATGTTCCTTGGCAGAATGTGACCTTCTGGAAGCAAAGTGCCAAAAACTGTCAGCATAGCATCGAAGGCGTCTCAACTCAGGTGGCACTAGGACTTGAAAGCCATAAGGCGTCCAATGGCATCTAGTTGAGAGACCTTTGTCTGGCCGTGAAGGGGTTTCTGTGCCGCAGACAACATGTCGTAATACGCCTTTGCGGTTGCCTCTAGCTCCTCATCCCTACGTCCTTCACCGAAGTGTGCTTCATGGTAACCTAACATGTCTCCTACCCCACCATCAGCATCAAGATCCTCGATGCGTTGTCTCACGACCTTGTCTCTCCTACGTCCTTCACCATGGAGGGTCCATCGGGTATAGTCTGCCATAAATCCATACTTGCCAAGATGTTTACCCATGTCCACCTTTGTTTGTTTACGCCTGTTCTCACACTCGCTGCAGGGACACCAAACTTTATCCTTTTCTTTAGCCTCCCGAAATGCTGCTTCGAAGAAAGCATTGGTCTTCTTCATCCATTGATCAGTCTAGTCTCCATAACCCCTTCGGCCAGTGTACATCCACTCACAGTCATCCATCCTTTACCATATACGCGAGTAATATAAGAATCCATTGCATCTACACGAGGATCCTACTATCTAATAGGTGAAGATAGGTCCTAATCCCACCTTAGATGAGGTTAGTTTCCATGCTCTACTCCTATCCAAGACAGAATTTTGGCAGCACCTCCACGCTCTTCTCCAAATACACGTCCCGGTAGGGAGATTGTGTATCCGGAGAAAAACAGGGAGATGATGCCGAAACTCTGTCTCGGGCTGTCCAAAAAATGTAGACAATTCGAAACACATATGGTTATAGATATGCAAAGATCTGCATACTTCCAACCGTATCCCTTTCGAAAGGGAGACACCTAACTTGGTTATGTGATCTACGAACATGATACGGAAAGAGGGGTTATACCTTGGGTGGCGGTGGAGTCAGAGGCTAGCGGGGCCGTGGCGGGTCGGTGCAGTGGCGAGGCAACGCAGTGCAGGCAGACCCGCAGTGGCGAGGAATACGATCGGGGTCGCCGAGGTACTCTGGCTCGGCTCCGATGGGCTCTTCTCTGCAAAAAAAGAACATACGGTCTTAATTCAAAATTTTGACAGAACCTCCCCTACACGGTGAGGTTTCTAAAACCTGCAAAAAACATATGGCACGATGGCCGATAACCACATATGCATATGCATTGGATTCACATTCATATAAACATATATAATCACAACTACTGCGACTACCACCACCACCAGTCCTACTGCTCCTCCTCCTCCTCCTCCTACTACTACTACTACATATATAATCACACAGTTTCATAATATTTGCTAGCAGAGAGTAGAAAACTCCACATGTTCACCACATAATTTGGTATACAGTTCATGTCTTGTAAATATGGTTTAGTTCAACTTAACATAGTCATCAGTTCAAGAGAACAACACAATACTGATGCAGATATGCGATTCTAGACAATCCCCGACCATGCGCATGGAGCAAATTCGCATCTAGAATATGTGGCCCTTGCCACCAAACGAGCTCGAGATCTCTGATTTCATTGTTAGGGTTTGGGCGCACGATTTTTTTACCTATGAATTACGTTAAGGTTTGGGCGCACATCGCCGACCAAAGTGGCGAGTGGTAAGTAGGACAGCATCGACGGTCGCGAGGACACCGGGCTGCAGAGGGCGGACGCCGTGTCGGAGATGGTCGCTAGGACGCTTGCCCCAGGTGGAGCTCGACCGAGCGCAGTCTCCTCTCCGGGTTGCGGCGCGGCGAGCGGATGGAGGAGATCGGCCGCGAGTGAGACGAGTCCAGGCGGTGGGCCGCCGGTGGGAGCGGCCGGCGTGGGCGGCGGTAGCGTCTTGGGCGGCAGCGCAAGCGCGTTGGTGGGTGGGGTGGCATGCGAGGCGGCGACGCAAGCGGCGGCGGGCCAAACTTTGCCGGTGGAGGCGGCTTTGGGTCATGGCCGGTGGGTGAGTGTGGCCGGGCGCGAGCACGGCGGGAAAGCACGACGAAGCAGCGAGGAGAAGGCGCAATGGCATGAGGATGACGGTGGCAGGGGGGGGGGTGGGCGGCGCTGGCAGGGGCGGTGAGGGAGCGAGGGGAGGGGAGGTTGCAGAGGACGCGGTGAGGGAGTGAGGGTACGGGAGTGTGCGTGCGTGCGTGAGTGAGTCTCAGCCGTGCCAGTTAAGTCTTGGGTCAGGCCCTTGCCGAGTGTTCGCGATCCGGCACTCGGCAAAGCCGGGATTTTTTAAAAAAAACATTAAAAATCTTTGCCGAGAGTCAAGCCGATAAGGCACTCGGCAAAGACTATACTTTGTCGAGTGCTAACCCTAGGACACTCGGCAAAGGTATTTTTTTGAAAAAAACTTTTCTATTTCCTTTTCCTTTTCCTTAACCGTTTTTTCCAAATTTGTTCCAATACACTTTGAAAATACCTTGTCAAATTCACTCAACAATGCAAATTTGATTCTTCAGCGAAAAATAGACCATGATTTCATGTAGTTATAGCTCAAATTCCATTTATATAATTGCAATTACAAATTAATAATTATCAAATGGATCCAAAAAATCGTTAAAATTTAACATGACACGATCTTTGATGTCTATTGGCTATACAAAAAGTTTCGGAGTCAAACCACAACTCGACCGTCACTTTCACTCCAAATCTTACCAGATCATTCTCAACAATCATGAAACTTCCTCGGAGATGTTTTGGTTTGTAAGTAATGTACGTGACAACTTATGCGACACCTTCTCAATTTTTTACCACAGCCTCCACATATGATATCATGACCTCTTATCAAATTTCATGATTTTCGGACTTTCTTTGCTTTTTATAGAATTTAAAAACCATTCAACCACACGCTCGGGGTTGTGTTTCCAAAATAAGATATTTGAAAACCCTTATAATCTTATAGGTAAGGCCTCAAACTGGGTTGAATAATATGAATATCAATTTTATACTCATTTTTTCCAAATATTTGAATCACTTGCAGTTCAAATTTAACTTAATTTAAAAAATTGCTTGAAATGTAATTAATTAGTTAAATATAGCAAATAAATTCAAAAATACACCAAACTTAAGCATGGAGTACCACATGTGGTATGTGGAGAGGTGAAAATTTTTGAAGTGCAGGAGTCAAAAAAAAATTATACTTTGCCGAGTGTCTGCTTTTGACACTCGGCAAAGAGCCTCTTTCCCGAGTGTTGCATTTGTACACTCGGCAAAGAGCTGACGGCGGCAGGCTGGTTTAACGGCGGGCCAAAATTTGCCGAGTGTGAGATGTTGACACTCGGCAAAGAAAGTCTTTGCCGAGTGGAATGTCTGAGCACTCGGCAAAGAGGACGTCTTTGCCGAGTGCCGATCCTGAGCACTCGGCAAAGACCAGCTTTGCCGAGGGTCGTGTCGTTGTCGAGTGTTTGAGTTTGGGCACTCGGCAAAGACAACCTTTGCCGAGTGCCCGAAATAAAAAAAAAACTCGGCAAAGTTCTTGGCACTCGGTAAAACTTGCGATTCCGGTAGTGCTAGGTGGGTCGCCGGAAGTCCATTGGGCTCGACCGATCTGGTCTGGAAGAGATTTGTTGGCATTATATGTGGACTTAATTACTGACCTTATTAGATACGGCAACCCCACTATGCTCTCTTAGGCAATCTGTATGGCCATCCTGTGGTCAGCCTTGATGTTTTCGACCTCTTCTCTGCGTGCCATGCTGCATATGGCCCCAGGCAAGCTAGTTAGCTAGCTCTGCTTGCTGGTGTGATGTGTGACCGAATTTCAGATCCACAACGGGCTTAGAAGAGAGGAATCCATCCATGGTTGATGACCCGAATCTCAAATGATATTAGGGCAGGTGAGAAGTCATGTCAGGATTGAGAAAGATAATACACAATAATTCAGTATTTTAAGGTCACGCGAGACGCGACTATCTTGTCTTGCTTGAATAATTATTTCAATTACTGAACCACAGCAACTGCCCACTCATTAAATTAAACCGCATTTGGCTTCCACAGTATCATGCAATCATGTGCATCCAGCAAGTCGCGAATTGGGATCGGATCCTGTAGGTGACTTTGTCCAGTGATCAAGTCAATATAATAATGAAGACCAGATTGGGCGACCGGCGAGAGTGAGAAGGAAATCCATGGAGTCGCTGCAAGTGATAGAGTCATCCTTCGTGGCGCCGAAGGAGGCGACGCCGACGAAGGGGCTCTGGCTCTCTCCCGTCGATCTCGCGGCCACCAGAGGCCACACCACACTAGTCTTCTTCTACCCTTCCGGGGCTGCCTTCTTCGACGCGGCCAGGCTCAAGGAGGCGATGGCCAAGGCCTTGGTGGCCTTCTACCCGCTGGCCAGCCGCCTTGGCTTCGACAATGATGGCAGGTTAGAGATTAGCTGCAACGGTGAGGGTGTTCTCTTTGTTGTTGCTCGCTCTTGCCTCGTAGCTCAAGACTTCGACTTCTCAAAGCCGTGACGGTGCTGCCATAGAGCTCCCCTGCCACGACCGTACCCTCCTCCGTGCACGGTCCCCGCCCGTCGTCCACCCTGACGCCCTCTCGGTGTTGCACCCCAAGGTCACCTTGTCCCAGTCGTCGTCGAGACCAAACGCCACCGAGGTGTTTCCCATCTCCAGGGACCAGCTGGTCACCCTGAAGCGCCTCTGCGGCGGGGCAAGCACCTTCTGCTCCGTCAGCGCCCTCGTGTGGAAGTGCGCCGGCATCGCACGGCGGCTTCCCCCAGACACCATTGCACGTCTCAGCTTCCCGGTCAACGTCCGACGACGCGGAGTACTGAAGCCGCCGCTCCCGGCCCGCTACTTCGGCAACGCGTTGGTCTCGCTGTGCGTCGCCGGTGCGGCGCGGGATATCGCCTCGGAGGCTCTGGCATCTGTTGCCGCTCGCATCAACGGGGCCCTCGCCAGGATGGACGACGACCTGGTGCGGTCTGCGATCGACTATCTCGAGCTGGCCGACAAGGACATCCGGCCGCAAAGGGGCAGCTTGCCGGAGACGGAGCTCCGGATAGTCAGCTGGCTCAGCTTGCCGGGGCACGATGCAGATTTCGGTTGCGGGGCTCCGCAGGTGATGTCACGGGCGGAGTCCGTCCGCGGCGGGTTTGTGCACATCATGAACGATGCGCCCGAAAAGCACCGCGGCGGCAGCGCTGTCCGCGTGCTCGTGTGCATGGAGGCTACCAACATGAAGGAGTTCCAGCGGCAGCTTTATGCAAACATTGCCAAGCAGGCATCAAAACTCTAGCCTGCTGCTACGTGCTACGTGCGTCAAAGCTCTAGCCAGCTCAACAATCTTTTTTCGGTGTGAGTGTGGCACCATATAAAGAAAAAGTGTGATTTTCGGTTCGATCAATACAACCCACACAAATCTATATCTATTATTTGTACCTAATAATATTCAATTTCTTTCTTCTCAGTACAACTGACACAAATATATATATGAAAATTAGGAAACCTTTCTCTCAGAGTGTAGCTACTTTTTTGGGCGATGCTAGCGCCCAGGACAAGTCCTGACGCAGCTCCAACCAGCCAACTATTAAACAATTCCACCAACTGTAGGCTGGCGTCACGGCCCACCAATGAGAGTCCGATCTCAGCCTGCTCGCAGTAACGAAACAACGAAGCGGTATCCCTGCCCTGCCCGCGTAACAGAGAAAGGGAGAGTGCGCGCTCGCATCCGCGCCGCCATCCCCTGGCGCACCCCCTCCACCGGCCCCCGCCGTGCCCTCTCTGTAGTCTGAGAAGGATGCAAAGGCATCAAAAGGCGAGGAGGAGACACCTAGGCGAGACAGCATAAGGTAAGAAGGGAGATGCAACATCCGATCTACTTTTGAAACATCCAAATACAAAACTTGCAACATACGTACGAAGACAGATGAAACACTTAAAATATGCATATAAAACACTTACAAAAACACTTAAAAATACTTTAAGCCATTGCAAACATACGCAACATTCATATAAATACTTGCAACATATGTGTGCAAACATATGTAACATCCTGATAAATACTCTTGCAACATACGTCTGAAAAAACAGATGAAACACTGGGAATAGACGTTTTCAATATATGTGTACAACCACTACAACATATGCAACATCCCGATCTGCTTTTGCAACATCCATATGAAATACTTGCAACATACCTCTGAAACACCTACAACACTTGAAATAGACACTTGCAACATGCGCTTTCAAGCGCAACATTTACTTGCTGCTTACGAAATAGAGGCTCGCCAGCGCGTGGAGTTCACTGGAGACAGCCTTGTCGTTGCCACCATCGACCAGCTCCACCATCGACCAGATCGACTCCGCCTACCATGAGGCCAGAAGGGACCCCTTCGTGACCGCCGGTATCCTACGCTCCACGCAGGACACGCAGCTCCTACAACCGGCACCGCGGTCCCCACCACCACCAGATCTCTCATCATGCAGTGGATCTAGTGGAAGGAGCAGCGAGACAGAGTAGGGCAGAGAGAGAGGACGAATGTTGTTTGCTCGTCGCTCCCAGTCGGTGAGGGAGCAAAATGGCCGGGGGTGGAGAGGGAGCAAGACGAGCGCTCGTGTAGGCCGCGGTGGAGATGGAGGCACCCGGCTAGCACCGGGCGGACGATAAGGCTAGAACTTCGAGCTCAAGCGGCGTTTGGTGAACAACGAGAAAGAAATGGACAGATGACTAATGTGGGGATTTGGATTTTTTAGAAAGGTGTGGAGCTTGGGAGTCGGTGGAGACATGGGATGCAATTGGGCTGTTTGAGCCCAGCCATATTGCATCTGGAAAATTAATGCCATCCGGACACCCTGCTCGTATCAATTCCGTACTTTTTTCACGCGAAATCTATAAGTTTCCCACGAGATCGAAGGTGTTTCCAACAAGAAAACTAAGATTTGGACTCGGGCTCCCAAAATCAGCTCGGGCTTGTTCAAAAAATGGCTTGGGTCGGTTTAGAAAACCGTCGTAGACCAGTTTTTAGTGTGAGCCATCTACATCATCTCGTTGTCAAAACCGGCCTATGCTGGTTTTCTTCTTGAAAACTGGTAAATTTCTCCAACTTTGATTTGATCTTTGATTGTATTTGCTTTTCTAGTTACATCTTCAACTCGATCATATTTTGGCTGTTAACACTAGGACTAAAACAATGATGATATGTAAACTCGTTCTACCGTGCGATGATTCATCTAAGGTATATCTAAGATCTCCAAAACAATGTCTTATTTTTGTAAATATAGAAGTATCTAAGGTCTATTTCTGTAAATAACATAGAAAAATTGTATTTAATAAAAAATTAAAAAGCTACAAGTGTTATCCCCACCCACCCCACCAGTGTTACTAAGAGATTGGTGGCAAATAAGGGCTGCAATTTTTTTTTAAAAAAAATCTAATGAAAGGACTGCAGAATAATTTTGCAATAGAAAATAAGAAATTGACCCTTTAAAGAAGACTAGGAAATGTGTCGTTGCGTTGCAACAAAACCCACACATACAAGAATTGGACTCCTATCATCATTAAACGCGAGTTATTCTGACTTGTATAAGTACAGGTCATGAGTCCGGATTATATACAAGATACAGAGAGCGCGATCCAATGCATCTTGGAATCGGATTCCATATCAATCATCGTTAGACGTGAATTGTTCTAAGTTCTAACTCATATGAGCATGGATCATGAGTCCACATATAAGACACGGAGGACATGACACAATATGTTTTGGGATCAAACTCTGCATCTATCATTATATTATATTGCTAGGAGTTGGACTTTGTATCAATCATCGCTAGGAATTGGACTTCTTATCGATCATCGCTAGATGCGAGTTGTTCTAACTTGTCTAAGCAAAGGTCATGAGTCCGAATCATATATATATACACACACGCGCGCGCGAAGGGGGACGGGACAAACTCTCTAGTGTTTGGGTAGTTAGGGGAGGTGGACGAAAAAATATGATGTGATTTTGGCTCTTTAATACTGGGTATAGAATAGCAATTATGGTCGTGCGTTGCAACGAAACCTATAGCTTATGGTGTAGTCACCTAGAACATTTGTGGCTCGAAGGATCGCATCATCTGTCCCAATACATGTTGGAGTTAGACTTCGTAGCATCGAGGGATGTGTCTTGGAGTCGAACTCTGTATCATCGTTGGACATGCATTGTTCTAACTCATATGGGCATGTATCGTGAGTACAGGTCACATGCAAGACATGGAGATTCTGTATCGTCACTAGGACGGTTGTTGTTCTAGCTCATATGGGCATAAATCCCAATCACAGACGAGACAAAGACAAAGCGTAAGCGTATTGTGAGAAGTAAAAAAATATAGTTGGAAGAATCCATTTGCTCTTTAATATAAAGTAAATGCATACACACACATATATATATATATATATATATATATATATATAATATAGATATTATATTGGATAACAAACTACTCAAGATTTCAGTTCACGGCTTGATTAGTCCAAACTACATAGTTGATCCAGGTAATATAAAAAAGTTTTATTTGTAATCAAAAGTACATCAAGAATGTAGTGATGGGAATATTTATTTATTAACGATAGACTCATAGTATTATACTTATTTTTATTTTTTTATGTTTATATGAAAAACTGGGAGATAATCGGGAAAACAAAAATAACAAAAAAAATGAAATGGACACGGAAGAACGGGCCGAAGATACTCTACTACAAAAGAAAAAAATCAGAAAAAAGAACAAGAAAAGAAAAAAACAGAAAAAAAAGAAAACATAACGGATATGGAAAACAAACACTTAATAGAATAAAAAAGCGGGGAAACAGAACTAATGCGGAAAACAAAGGCTGAACACGCGAAATAACAAACCGAAAAGGTTGCCGCGGTGAAATCAGAAAAGGAAAAAAAAACTCCAAACGGACACGGAAGAAAAACAGGCAGACAAAAAGGTTATCGCAAGTGACCGTGCGGGTTTAAGGCTAGTACGCAACAACAGTCTCCAACGTACGAGCTAATCGCAAAGAGAAGCGCAAGAGAAGAGGGATTAGGTCTGGGTAACCGTGTCCCATCCTAGGACTTTTGGTACTGTATACTACTGCTATTTGTCACATTGCAGTTGCATGACAGCTGGACAGGTCGTTCCTTTTCCTCGAGTCGAGGGACCTAATCGCAAATTTGGTAGCAACTGAATTTCGCGCTAATTATAAGAGCAGACTATGCATGGTGGCAACTGAATTTCACGCTTTAATATAAAGAGCAACAATCCACAATCGACTGAGAAACCCATTTACCCTGCACATCTGATCAGATCATAATTGCTCAATGCACTGACCAAGCTGACTACAAAGAGTATAAGCCAACAAACTTCAACCACAACTCTTGACTCAACAAGTATAAACAAAGGAAACCCAATGATTGTCAGAAGAACCCTCCCCCATCACGGTGGCAGCAGCAGTCAACAGCTCTACAATAGATCTACCTGTATACATATGCAAGCAGCTCCCACGGTATCCAGATTCATCTCACAATCTCCTGTCGCTGCCAGTGCCAGACTCCACATCGCTTAGAGTATCTCTTAGGGTGATCCCACCGCGGCCAGGAATATTGACTGTTTCGATCTCCGTTGGTCTCACGCAGTAGGAGTTTGCATTTCTGCTGTTCCGTTCCTCAGCTACCTGGACCGTGTATGCATGAGGCCACCAAGCTGCAAAGGAGATGTACAATATTCTGTGACATGTTGAACAAAACCTGAAAACTCAATAGTTGGTGAAACAGTGAATAGTAGGTACCATCGCCATCAAAAGGATATGGGAAAAATTGCAGGTAGCAAAATGAAGCAACTGTAAGACCTGCAAAGGCGAGAAAGATGATCAATTATGTATATTCAGAACATCTAGAAAATCTAGATCTATTTAAAAAAGATATATCAAAATTTACAAACCTATAAGAGCCCCTGCAAATACATCTTGCCAATGATGCCAGTAGTCATCCACTCGAGAAACAGCCACAAGTGCAGCAGTAAGGAGAGGCAGAAACACAATGCATAGCTTCGCAATATGCCCTTTGCGATCAAAAGCCGCGATTTTCCCAGCTAAGTACCATGCAAGGAAGCCTAGACCAGCAAAAGACCCTGAAGTAGTGTAATAGGCAATGACAACACAAATTTTAGATGATAGAGCCAGCACACTGTAAAAAAAATATCATGAGGTGCCAAGTTGAAACTTAACTTCAGCACATAAAAAAAGGGCTTAAGCTTCAGTAATAATTTACACGA